TTTGTTTGTTTTTTTGGTCTGTATATCTGTGAGTGGAAAAGCAAGGGATATTGTGGACACAGCATAGAAAGAGCTCTTGTCTGAAAGACAGAAGCCAGGGAGGGTTGAAGGTCTAGGTATTCCACTACCTTTGGGTTCGTCATATCACTAAGGTCTTGCATTTGGGGCACCTGAGAATACTTTATAACCCTCTCCATTCTGCTACAAAATGTTTTCTGGCAAGATTTGATTTTAATTTTTAGAGTTACTGGTTGAACCAAGGTTATTGGAGGGAGGCATTCAGCATATTGATTTTTTTGTACATTAGGTAAAGGGACATTTATTTCTAACAGAGGAAATGGCTGTGTTAACTACCATAATGGCTTCCTTCTCCATTGGGAAGTTTGCTATTATTAGAGAGCACTAATTATGGCTTGAGCCTGATATAGCATGAGAAAGATATAAAACATAACTGTAGTTGGGTGGAGAATGTAAATCACATGGTGTATTACTGTCATTGTAGGAATCTGTCCTGGAATTTCTTGCAGTTAGGTCAAGTCGTGGTCATCCACAAAAGTTGGGACAAGGGTACAGTACAGTATAGCAATTAAGATTCTGACAAAGTAGAATTCATAGGAGCAGAGAGTAGAATGATATTTACCGGGGGATGGGGAAGATGGGAGAGAGGGTGGTCAAAGGATACAAAATTTCAGTTAGATAGTAGGAATAAGCTCAAGAGANGGAGAGAGGGTGGTCAAAGGATACAAAATTTCAGTTAGATAGTAGGAATAAGCTCAAGAGAGGTATTGTTCTACATGTGACTATAGTTAATAACAATGTGTTATGTACTTGAATATTGCTAAGAGAGATTTTAAATGTTCTCACAATAAAAAAAATGATAAGTATGTAAGGTAATGCATACATGAATTAGCTTAATTTAACCAATCCACAATGTATACATATTTTAAAACATCTTGTTGTACATCATAAATATAAGTATAATTTCTATTTGTCCACTAAATAAATTTAAAAAATAAAAAATAACATAAGCATACTTCACATCATGTTTTTATCTATGAACAATGTAACACCTCAAAGTTCAATGCTTTTGTTAAGTAAAGAATAACGTAGAACATGAAAATGTAACGCACAACTCAGAGCCCTTCTCTTTAAAAAAAAAAAAAGAGTCTGACACAGGAACCACATTGCTTGGGCTCCACAAAGCTCCTGCATTAATAAGTCTTATGGACTGTAGACATGGTATTTATCTGCTGTTCACTTGAGTTTCCTCATCTGTAAAATGGGCCTGATAAGAAATCTCACAGCTTTGTTGTGAAGAGTTGTGCATTAATATGTGTAAGCACTTATAACGGACCTCTCAGTCTTTGTTAAGCTACTACTTTATTGTTGTTTTGTTGTTATTGTTGTATTTTTGTCTCTCGGATGTCAAGGACTTAAAAAAAAAGTCTCAAATGAAAAGTAAACTATAATGCCATATGATCTTTATTTTTATTCTGCCATGTATGTAATCAGTGAAAGGTATTAGTGCAAATAGTGGTTGTAATCTTACAAAGAATTAAACACAATTGCCAAAAGAAAACTGATTCAATCATAGAATAAAGTGGTTTGAAGGTATTACTAAAGCAAAACTAGTCCTTGTCACAAAACTAGTCTGTCTCTGATAGATATAAGCCAGAGAAGCTTTCTAGGGTTTCTCTTAAAATGGTGGTCACAAACTTAGAGTAAGAACAGTTCTTTAATTTCCACTTTAATTCAGCAGAACTTTATTAGACTGAAATTAAGCGAATCCCAGAGAGGCCTGGAAACATAAATGATTATGAAATGTTATGGATTCTAAGTTGGGTATTTGGGAAGACAAAGATGAAGGCTAATAGTTTACACTTAGTATTAAACTCTGGCATTCCAATGGAAAAAAGATGGCTAGTTTGAATCAAATAATGAGATTTGTTTCTTATATAATAATATAATGATTTAGTTAAAAGAGCTAACCTGTAGTAGGTTTATTAAATTAAGCAATAAAGTTTCTCAAACAACTTATTGTTAAAATCTTTACAGCTAATTTCATTTACAATGAAATTAAATAAATAACTTTCTTTAAAAGTTAGACATGGGTTTTCTCTATTTTGGTAGGGGTTGAAAATGCCATGTCAGTGGATCTGGCTATGATCAGACCCCTTAATCCTGTTTTAATTATGGGTTCTTTGCTACTTCTAATTTCAAAGTTATTTGTGACTGACATTCAGACATTCATAGTAATTTTTTAAATATGTAATTTTACATAAGATTCCCCTCAAAGTGACCTTAAGACAGAGTCTCTAAATATAATTATAGGGAGGAAGGAACTACAAAAAAAGTCTCAAATGAAAAGTAAACTATAATGCCATATGATCTTTATTTTTATTCTGCCATGTATGTAATCAGTGAAAGGTATTAGTGCAAATAGTGGTTGTAATCTTACAAAGAATTAAACACAATTGCCAAAAGAAAACTGATTCAATCATAGAATAAAGTGGTTTGAAGGTATTACTAAAGCAAAACTAGTCCTTGTCACAAAACTAGTCTGTCTCTGATAGATATAAGCCAGAGAAGCTTTCTAGGGTTTCTCTTAAAATGGTGGTCACAAACTTAGAGTAAGAACAGTTCTTTAATTTCCACTTTAATTCAGCAGAACTTTATTAGACTGAAATTAAGCGAATCCCAGAGAGGCCTGGAAACATAAATGATTATGAAATGTTATGGATTCTAAGTTGGGTATTTGGGAAGACAAAGATGAAGGCTAATAGTTTACATTTAGTATTAAACTCTGGCATTCCAATGGAAAAAAGATGGCTAGTTTGAATCAAATAATGAGATTTGTTTCTTATATAATAATATAATGATTTAGTTAAAAGAGCTAACCTGTAGTAGGTTTATTAAATTAAGCAATAAAGTTTCTCAAACAACTTATTGTTAAAATCTTTACAGCTAATTTCATTTACAATGAAATTAAATAAATAACTTTCTTTAAAAGTTAGACATGGGTTTTCTCTATTTTGGTAGGGGTTGAAAATGCCATGTCAGTGGATCTGGCTATGATCAGACCCCTTAATCCTGTTTTAATTATGGGTTCTTTGCTACTTCTAATTTCAAAGTTATTTGTGACTGACATTCAGACATTCATAGTAATTTTTTAAATATGTAATTTTACATAAGATTCCCCTCAAAGTGACCTTAAGACAGAGTCTCTAAATATAATTATAGGGAGGAAGGAACTACTGACCTAGAATGAGTTGATGGTTTCCAGGGATATCTCATTTTCAGATTTTTCAGTTAAACTCCGTGGCAGAGTTTCACATTTCTGCAAGCCTGAGCAGACTGCAGAAGGGTTACCTGTAAAGATTATCATGTGGACATCACTTGTCTATTCTCACTACTGCATATTTGAAAACACTAGGGACCAAATATGGTTAACCACACACTTCTCCCTGGAGATCTGAGCCCTAAATATGCCTTTGGCCACCATGCTCTGTATTTCTTGAGAACAGTATGCTTACAACTAGGTGTCATTTGTCATAGAGGAAATGAATATTTGTTGTGCATAATCATTTTTGCTTAGGTTCAAAACTGAAAGGCAGTTATACTACTCAAAGATACAGGCTTAAAACATGAATTTTGACAAAATAAAACTTAATTCAGTGATATCAATTATAAATCACATTTTATTTAAAATAAATAAACATAACATTTTATTTCTTTGGTGATCTGTGTGCTATTGACAGTCTTTAGCAATTGCATTGTTTCCATCGTAAATGATGTTGTAAAATTATACAAGCCAAATATTTCCCCCAAATTTTAACATGTTTCATATTAAGCTCTGTTTCTTCATCTTTAAAATGAAGATATTGAGACTACATTATCTCCAAGACCTTTTCTGATACATAAGTCTGATTTTCTAAGTCTAATGTCCAGCCTGTTTAATTATTGAGAATATTCTGCTGAATTTCCAAATGCTTCTGGGATGTTTCATATTGCATGACTCTGTCTTACCAAATGATCCTCTCTGTTGACCACACCAAATATTATTCCATGAGAGCTCTTCCCCCACTCCCTGGATGTGGTGGCCCCCGGCACAGAGACGACCAGCCTTCACCTGCCAGTAGCAGGATGACATATATAAGGGGTCTAGTCATCCTGTCTTACCAATTGCATCTGTGTTTGGTCAACTGAGAGTGTGAAGTAGTAATCTGCTTTCTTCTCTTCTTTTTTCCCTGTGCATTTCCCAACAGAAAGGAGAACCCGACTGCTATGCGCTCTACCTGGAGACAACCGAGCAACTCACCTTTGAGATCCCCCTGAATGATTCTGGTTCTGCTGGCCTTGGGGTGAGCTTGAAAGGGAACAAATCCCGAGAAACTGGAACAGACTTGGGGATTTTTATCAAATCCATCATCCATGGAGGTGCCGCTTTTAAGGTGGGTATTAATGATGTTTGCCAACAGCTGTGAGGAGGTACTTAAAGATGTGGCCGTTGTGCTTGGGGACTGGATGAAGAAAGTGTCTGAAGGCTTCAGACCACTGAGGCTTTCCTGACAGATGCAAGAAATGTGTGTGTGAACAGATCTGTGGAACAATTGGCTGTTTTCATACCGTAAGTTATTTTTACTTCCTAGAGATAGTTCTAAAAACCCATCACAATTAACATTCTTTTTTGCGTCCTCCTTATTACTCTGTTAGGACTCCTCAGAATTTGTAACCTGACAGCGTTGAGGCTAAAAATACACAATCAAAAAACAAAACTAAAATCAAGTAAACATAAAGGCAGCAAATAAGAAAATGGTGCTTGCAAGAATAAAAGCTCAGTGGAGCCTGAGAGTGATTGTACTGTAAATTAAAGGTCATTTATCACATTTTATACACTTGAGGATAACTGTGGTGCCCAGAGAGCATATTTGCTTTTAAACACTCAGAGAATCTTATCCGTTTCCAAAAGAAAAGGAAGATCATGACTCTGCCCTTTCATGTTGGGGTGGGCAATGTGATTGTGGCTATCAACACAGTATAGTGGTTAACTGGATTGGCTGTGTTCAAATTCAGCCCCACCACTTGCTGGCTGTGTGAAAATGCAGCAAGGAACTTGACCAGCGGTCTCTTATTTCCTCTTCTGTAGAATGGAGATCATCAATAATGCCTGCTTCGTAGGGTTCTAAAGATTAAATAAATTAATACACACAATGCGATGAAAGCAGTAAGGTGATTATAGGGGGATACATGTTTTCATCTCTCATCACCATCATCATCATCTCCTGCCATGACATGAGACTACTTCGGTCTGAATCTTACCTTAGCTTCTTTCTCCCTCTGTGAAGAAGGCAAGTTGCTCATCCTCCATATGCCTCAGTTTCCTCATTTGTAAGATTAGTAGTGCCTATCTCCTAGGACTATTAAGACTAAAAGAGATAACACATGTAAAATGCTTACTTAGCCCAGTGCCTATAAGGTCTTGATATCCCTTTCTGCTCCACCGCTGTCTTGCGAGGAGGGCCACCGGCAGCCAGGGCGCCCAGCCGGAATGGCATGATCTTCAAGTCCCTCTGGGGCTGGCGGCGGCGCGAGGCCCCGCGATTCAACCAGCTGGCGGGAAGGTCCGCGAGGTGCCCCACGGTGCAGGTCACGCCAAAGTGCCCGCGGGCAGGGGCGTCAGCCTGGAGGAGCTAAGGGGGGGCGGCACCCACGAGAAGCTGGCTCGGACCATTGGGATCTCCGTGGATCTGAGGAGGGGGGACAAGCCCTCGAGTCCCTGCAGGCCACTGTGCCGCGGCTGGGCTGCTGAGTACCGCCCCGAACGCATGCTCCCCCGCAGGGAGCCCTCGGCCCCCCAGAAGGGAGACAGCCCTGCTGAAGGACTCAGGCCGGCCCCCAGCTGGCAGGCCCAGCAACGCGCTAGGGAATGTCTACGAGAAGGAGGAAGCCGGAGTCACCTCCGAGGAGGAGGACCTCAAGGTGTTTGCCGATCTTCCCACCGCCGCGCCGACGCCGGCTCCTCAGCATCCGGACCAGAGGGCCCAGGAAGCTGCAGAGCACCAGGTGGAAAAGAAAAAGTCAAGCCCTGTGGGGACTTTTAATAAACCAGCAAGAGGAAAAAAAAAAGGAGAAGCAGAGAGAACAGGGGCTATCAGGGGCTGGTGGAGGGGGGTCAGGGGTGGGAGGGGGCGTCGAGAGAAAAAATAAAGTGCTCAGAACGCGGTGGAGCCACGTCAGACGGACGCAGGAGCCTGCTTGAAGGCCACTGGCCAAATCAGGGACAACTGGAGCATCAAAATGAGTGGTGGCAGTAATGAATTATAACACATTGAAAGCAAAACATGAAAAATAAATAAAATACTCTTGATATTAAAGATGTGTTCCCTCTCCCACAGCAAAGCCAAGAAGGCCTAGTGAGACTTCACAGGGGCACTCCTGGCTTCTGGCTTTGCTGAAGCATGTGTCTTCTTGGGAAATGTATTATAGATAAACAACTCTTTAATTCATTTTTTGGATCAGTTAGCTTTTGTTGTGTAAGAAATAATCACAAAGTTTCGGTAATATACATCAGTAAGCTTTTATTTCTGTCATGGCTCTGCAGAGCACCTGGGAGTGGGGTGGGGGATGGGAGGATTCTGATTCAGGCTGGAGTGTCTCTTTATCACACTGTAGGTTTACAGGTCTGAGTGTGCCCCACATGCTTTACCTACCCGTTGGACCAGCAGGCTAGCTGAAGCATGTTTTTCTCATGCCATAAAGTGTCAGAGGACCAGTGGCAGTGGGTGAAGCCTCTTAATGCCTGGGCTCCAAACTGGCTCACTGTCACTTCACACACAGGCCATTGTCCAAAGAAAGTCATACAGCTGAATCCAAGGTCAAACTGTGGAAAACCACACTCCACCCACAATGAAGCTGTAGCAAAGGTGTGGATGCCATGAAGGGTTAACAACTGAGGGCAATCATTCTGTCACTTCACACACAGGCCATTGTCCAAAGAAAGTCATACAGCTGAATCCAAGGTCAAACCGTGGAAAACCACACTCCACCCACAATGAAGCTGTAGCAAAGGTGTGGATGCCATGAAGGGTTAACAACTGAGGGCAGTCATCCAATCTATAAAACTCTCCAACCTAGCTCAGAAATATGAAACTAGGAACAAAAGGGGAATAATAGTAATAGCAACAATAGCAATAGCAATTAACATTTGTTGTGCTTAATATATGTTGGACACTAAGATAAGTGTTTTAGGTGGATTCTCTAATTTTATTCTTCATATTCACATTAGATTATTATCATGCCATTTTATCAAAGGGGAAATTACAGATTGGAGTGGTTAGTGCCTCTTCTATGGTTACATAGCCAGGAATTGTTTAAACTAAGATTCAAATCCAGGCAGTCGGACTCCAGAACTGTGCTGCACTGAGACAAAAGCTCTTTCATATATCCGCTCACTTTCCTAGGGAGCGGGGCCCATCACCGGGAGTTGTCTTGTATTGTGCTTATCGTCCTTAGCCAAGCCATCTAAACATGTGCTGTTTGAAGATGAGTCCTTGGTCATGTCTTTGGATACCCATCTGCTATTATTATTCTTATTCTTAATGACAGCTCTATTTGCAGAATTTATTCCAAGTAAAATTGAAACTGAGATGACTTTTTGGAAATTAAAAGCAAACATCTTAGCGTTTTTATGGGCAATAACTTAAGTTCAAGCATATATTGGCAGGCAGGTTTAATATGTATATCCATGTTTGCGTAAGTGAGCATCTCCTTACCTAAGCAGTTTCTAACAGTCCTGCTTTTTGTAGAAAGATTTCACTTTCCATTTATGTAAATTTCTTTCCTGACACTGGTCTGCTGAGTCAGACAATCACACCATTAAAAACCACTGGACAGCATATTTATAGCTGATCTTAAACAGTAAGAGACATCAATCATGAATTTAGCCTTGTTGTGAATGTTTAGTATCCATTTGTCTTGTTTACCTTTTGCAGTGTAAAGGGTAGAGGCCTGATTTTTGCTCACAAGAAATCTGATTAACCAGGAAAAACAGAAAAGTATTTTTCTGTTCTCCTTTTTCTGTTCCAATAATCCACTTTTACTCCTAAAAAAATTGCCACCCAGTCTATGATTCAGGATTATGTCTTTAAAAAATTGTTTTGAGACTTTGTTCCTGTCCCTGTTGAGAAGATACAAAAGTAACAGACTGCAGTGTCCCTGGAGCAAAGAGTAGATAAGAATTGGGAATTTCCACACTAGCATCTGGCCCTAGATTTTTACCTGAAATCAACAAAATAATCTTTTTACCAGAGCACAATATTTTTCTCCTGGCTCTTCATACTACTAATTGGTTCTCAAGGTGTTTTTTCCTTTAGGGAAAGTGGAGTTTTGAAAACTAAACTACTTTTGAAAAGTATGACCAAATTCTTCCTGTGGATTCTGTATGTTATATTTTCCTGTGGGCTTCTGTTGGTATAAACAAAGATAGGCTACTTCTTGCCAGACATAAAACCACGGAATGGCTGTGACACTAATTGATGGCCTCCCTTTTCTTCCCCCTTACCTCTCAGGCTACTGCTTTCTATCATTTCATATCTTATTTGAATTATTTCTAGTAGAGACATAAATTATATTTGAAAATAAGAGCATCCAGTTATGCTACGATGCCCTCTTAAAAGTGAGTCCCTGACTCATTCTAAGGAGAAACTGAACAATATTTTTACCCTATTAAGAATTATTCAAATATTTAATCTCATCTTAATATTTAGCTTCATGTCTGCATATTAAGAAATAAAGCCCAGAAACTCTGTCTTGCATATGTCAGGCCATAGCACTTGGGATTTTGGGGTGATTAGGCAAAAGGAGCTCTTTGCAGGCCCCTCTGAAGCCTTGCTTTCAGCTGTGCCTGTTAGTGAACAAAGTGACCATTGACCACACAGCAAAATACTACTTCTTAGAGTATTGATGCTCATGTGCTTAAACAGTGACATGCATTATATGTTTGTGGTTTCATTTGAGTTTTTGTCATCCTTCCTTGGCATTTGTCCCTGAAGTACAGTTTAATTGCCTCTAGAAATAAAATATTCTAGATACAACTATATGTGTTAAGTTCTCCTGAAATGAGAACTATGATTGGAATGAAATTTTCTAAAATTTTTCTTTTGTAGTTGGAGTTTAAAGTGACTGTGGTGGCAGTGTTTCTAAATAAAAAGAAATACTGTCTTTGTTGCAGTTAGATTGCTTCTCGGCCTTTTGGCTAAGATCAAGAGTTGCAGTTAGGAAAAAATACCTGGAGAAAAATATTCCCCTTCCCCCAAACCCACAAAAAATTTGCTTTCTGTTTTCTCCAGGGATGTACAAAGAAAGTCTCAATGATCAGCTTGCAGACCTTAGATGTTTTCATACTCATTTGCTAAACATTTTGAATTCTGAGACCAGTGGCTTTCCTTTGCTT